AGAATAGAGGAACTTAGTATTATTTAAGCGCTACTGATTTAGAATATACCTCGTCACCGTCAGCCGCCATCTTTATTGATTACACTTTTTCAGTTCTTTTTTCCAAAATTTAAAGACAATTTAAGTACAAAATTTTTTCTAAACACAATTATTTTTATATAGAACATTAAATTTTGTTTCAAAATAGTTATATAGTTATAAAAAAAAATAGTTATAAAAAATATTGTCAGAAGTTATAACACATATTTTCAAACCTGATATGGATATATCAATGGTAACTATTTTAAAAAATATATAATGTTCACATTTAATTTTTTAGGCAACGTCCCATAATATTTGCAGAAGACTGTAATAATTTTAGATATTTTTATAAAATCTGATTTTTATTATTTTTTGTACATAAATACATTATTCTTTCTATTATTCCGTTATTTTTGCTGATCGTTTTTAAAAGTGAGAGCACTTTTTCCTAAAAATCGCATATATTCCCGAGTACATAAGAAGTAACAATGAATAAATGTGTGTTTTAATTGAAAAATGGCACCAACTGTTTGGTGCAGGGATTAAAGTATGACTTCATTGAAACTTTGCCAGCTTGAGGAAAAATTCGGCTGAAAGAACTTTTCACTAGATAATAAGTTATTGATAATAAGAAAAAGGGACTATAAAAAAAAACTGTGACATTTTCAGAAAAATAAGGTTCTTCACTAAAAAGAACAACAAATTTCCAAAAAAAAAAATTCTTGGTACCATTCTATTTTTTAAACCTATTTAAGTACAAGAAGAAAGACAAAGCAAGATATCTAAATGATTTGGAACAGTTTTCAACCTATTTGGAAGTTCTTGAAGAAGTTTTCGTTTTGGCACCGTATATTTTAGTAAACATAGAAATAGGATCCTTGTTCCGTATGAATTTTTGGTTTCTAGGACTAAGGAATCATCTTGGACTTTAGAGGAGATCCCAAAAAAACATGTTTAACGGCGAATTTGGATTATTCCAATTATTATTTTAGTTTGCGTGTTGTACTAACAGAATTATTTCCTTGCAATTTTTCTAAATAAATGCTCTTAGTTTTCCTTGATCTACCTTTCAAAATTATCGTTGTTTTTTAATTTTAAACAAAAAGTAGTTTATTATCGTTAAGCAAAATTGACATCTAAAGAACCTCATTATGTCGATAGGGTTTTTATCCACACGCGCTCTTAACGATTATGGTCGTCATAGAAAAAAATGTTTGGAGCCGAGATCAATTCTTGGTTTTTGTAGCTTACATTCTGAAATAAGAATTAACAAAAATGCAGTAAATTTCGTTGAGTACAACATTAATGCTGGACAAAAGTGGTTTACGTTAACTGCTGAAGATGGTAACATATTTACATTTCCACTTAAGACGACACTGCCAAAAGTGCAATTGGCACGATTTGTGCCTCGAAAGCAGTTACCCAGAGATGTAGAGGAAGATCGTCGTAGACGCCTATATGCAACAATAAATTTAGAGGAAGAATTAAATAAGGTAGGCCTAGGAAGCAAAGATCTGCATCCAACAGAAGTTGAATTCTATGATTTAGATAAAGTAGAAGTCAATCACCATTTCCCATTAAGTTTTTTTGATAATTTTGAGTATGATGTGCATTCACCGGAAGCCTGGTTAAGTTTAGGTATGATCGGTGATAATCAGTATCCATTACCTGGGAAAGCTTATCTACCCTCTAAGGGAAATCCTAAAGCGTATGATTGGCAATATGTAGCAGTTTATAGCTATGAATCGGCAACACATCGTTGGCATGTCATTGCGCTACAAAGTGATTGCGAGTACGATGTACCAAAATGTCAGCTTATGTTTCTAGCAGAAAATCCGGCCATATTTGCTAAACGTTTGGTTGACGCAATTACGGATCGTGATAGAGGTGAAGCTGTCTATGATTTGCTAACTATGGTTGATAGTGCCGTACATTTAGCTGTTCAGGAAGAAACACTACGCTTTCCACAAAAATTTAACAAATTATTGCTTAGTAGACATCATGGCAGAAGAGCTTACTATGGATTAATCAATATGGAAGTAAAACAATTATTTGAATATGTAATGACCGCATTGGAATTTGGAAACTTTTTGAATTCAAAACCAAAAGATTTCTTACAGTATGACAAAAATCTTGTAAAAGTAGCACTACCTAGCCATCACGTCTCCATGCATAGTATAGAAGAATATTTAAATATGAAGGCGTTAAATATAAATATAAAACAATTAAGGTATAGTGTACTGAAGACCATGCTCACCTATATTCCAGCTTCGGTTGAAGCAACCGAAGGGGCTGTCGTAGAGTGTGAATTTATTAACACAATGTCTGTTTTTGTAACACATTATGCCAGACCGATAACATTACATGATTTTCTTATGAGCCAACATAAGAATAGTAACAATGTGGCAATTTATTTAAAAGAAAAATGGCCTTATCGTATTTCTGCAATTCTTGTAATGATATTTCGTGCTAATGGTAAGGGCTCGATGGATGTAACATTGCGTAGATGGGATATATTCGAGTTATTAAAAATATTCAAATATTTGATACAAACAAAGTTGAGAATGCAGGACACAATTCAAAGTTTGCTAGAACGTTCGATTATCAAATTTACAGAACTTTTAGTAAGCCCCTGTCTGCAATTTAAGGGTATGTCTCCGGATTACGAATGGCCACCAAATGACTTTATAAATACACCCTTTCCATATGAAAAACCTGTTTTTTACGTAACTATTGGTGTGTCACGTGAAACTGCTAAAGTTTTTTACTCAACACTTCCGGAAGAGTTCCAGCCATCAATTATGGATATATTCAAAGTTGCACTAAATAAAACTAATGCCATACATATGGTTGATCCAGATACAATGAGACACTTGCACTTTGCTCCAAATCTTTACATATTAACTGTTGAACTTATTGAAGACTTATATATTAAATGCAATGCGCAGATGGATGAAGCCTACGGTCTTGCCATTATACCATTGATAGCCTATTCCAAACTTTTCGAAAGATTTATAGAATTCTGCTGTTTGGATGTAGGTAAATATATGAAAGCGTATCAAGAGGCTGATAAAACATCTATAACCGTAAAAGCTGATATTCTCGAACATAAAAGGCAAAAGGAGGAAATACGACGTATATTACCAGCTTTTATTACGATTGGACCATTTTATATTAACGTTGAACAGTTAAAAACTCTTATGGTTAACAAACATATAGAAATAGTTAGAAAGATTTTTGAATTCTACGTACATCGCATGTTTGTAATAAATGAAGAGTTGCAAGAGCGTTGCAGGAGTACCTTTGAGAAAATAGCTGAACGACCTCGGAGTATAGAACATTTGCTGGAGATAAGAGATTTTGGTGAAAACATACCAACAGTTGTGGAAGGTCTGAGAAGTGATATACAGATAATGTGGCTGGAATATGATATGCTGGATGGATTTTTCTATTGTTTAAGTGATACACAATTTGCTATTAAATGGGATACGTTCGCTTGGCCGCATAAGATACTGCAACGGTTAGGATATTTGCGTGAGGAGCAAAAGTTGGATTTGGAAGAGTTCAAACGTGTACATAGTAGCGAATGTATACTATTAGAGGAACGACTGGAATCGTTAAATGATGAAATTCAACAATTTTCTCTGCAGTTTGATCCTAACAAAGCTGTTGAATCTACTGTTGAGGTAACGTTTGATTACTTACGTTAGCTAATGTTGGACGTACAATGCTGCATTACGAGCGAATATTGTTCATTCAATGTATCTTAAATACAGTACACATACTGTTGCCAGTAATGGAAGTTAAATAACTTGAACGTTTTAATATAATTGACCATAATTTTTAAAGAAATAGTTTTATGCGATACAATGTGATTTGGTTCGGTTGTAGTAGCATTGTGCGTGATATAACAAAACATAGTAAATAATTATTGCTAGAGATAGATGTTCGTACACTCATCATAATGCCTGAGCATGTTTTTTTTAAACAAATCCAAAATAATATAAAATATATAAGTTGATTGAGTAGTGCGAGGGTCTTTTGCAACTTGAATATTTTCGAACATTATAAGTTTCCAATCCAAATATTCGAATTTGAGCATACTCGAACGAACTGCCGAGTAACTTCATGACCATACATTTTGTAATACCATCTATATATAGAATAAAAATATAAACACTTTGTTCTCGTTTAGGTTAAAAAAATATGGAAAACAATATCAGATTTAGAAAAAATGGGTGATACCTTAAAATTTCGCCAGAAATTGTTTGAATTAGAAGATCTTTCATTGGAGTTTTTAGAAAGTATTATAAATAGTTTTATACCATATCGTGATTTATGGTTCGGAACAACAGACTTTTTAAAATTAGAAGAAGCAACAGTTGGAAATCCTCTTTCACAAGTAGAATTGGATGAAGTATGGAAGACTTTGGAGCAAATACGTCACAGTTTGAAGAAATCTTATAAAATTTTTAATGAAAAACCCGAACTACAACAAGTTGCCTTGTTTTATCTTGATAAGATTAAAGAATTTAAGCCAGTTTATGATTGTATATCTTGGTTGAAGAATGAAAATTGGTTATTATTGCATTGGTTGGAGTTGTCTCAATTGACTGGTGTTGATATAAAATATAATCCTAATCTTAATTTTCAAACATGTATACGAAAAGGTATCTTAGAAGTTTTAGATGTAGTCAAATCGATTTCGGATAGAGCTCAAGTTGATGCCGAAGAGTTAAGACGGCAGCAAGAAGAAGAAGAACGTTTAAAAGAAGAGGCGAGACTGGCTATAGAAATGAGAAAGGCTTTACGCAAATGTCGTCGTGATATTATGTAAAATGATATTTGAAAAAATTCTTTTTATGTGAAATATTATTAAAAAAGATTCTTTTGTTACAAATTTTTTATATTTACATAAAAATTTATAACATAAATTAAGTATTATATTTTTTATATATAATTTTTATTTATTTTTATACTTCAACTCTTTGGGATAGTAATAAATCATATTAAAACAACACTTTATTTTGTTTTTATTACTACTCGTATTAAAATAATATTAGTTTTGCAGTTTTGCATATATGTATGTATAGACAGCCTATGCCCAGTATAAAAGGTTGCTCGAAATCATAGACGTCGAGCAAGGCGTATTATTATTATATCTGTATATTATTTTTAATCGTAAAGTATGTACTTAAGAACAAAATTTGTACTAAAGATAGCGATAACGTCAATGCGAAATCAAATAACTTAGAATTAGATTACGTTCCCCTGGGAACGCAATGGAATGACGAAGAAGGTTGACATTGACGGTGCTAGATCGGAAGTAGATGTCGTCAAGATCACCTTTGCGAGGCATATTTTATTTCTAAGGCTTAGGAACAAAACGTCTCATGAGCTAAATTTTTAAACATACAATAAGTATACATACCTTACTATGAAAGAAATTAGGGAATTTCTCACTAAGGAAAAAACTAGCTGCCTATTTAAAGTTTAATCTGAAAACCACTTTATTAAAACCAATTTTCAATTACAGTTTTTAATACACTAAATCAAAAAGTGCAAAACTATTAGTTTTAAAACATAAATATTACAAATATTTATCAGAAAGGTATAAGTGCTGTATGAAGCACTATTTGCAACTCGAACTGTTGTTTGAAGCTCGAATTAATGATTTCATTTTATAATATCTGTGATTGGTTTTTGTTGTTTGTTTATTCTGTATAATCATATAATATTTTAATATCATAAGATTAGAGTATACACTACATAATTCTAAATATAACATGTATTTATTTATGCTTAGTGGTATCCTATATTTAATTGTTTAATAAATTTTCTAAACATTGAAAAAAAAAAACAGATTTTTTTGTCTATATTAATATTCAAGTTGTTTCTTTCAATTTTATTACACAGATTTTTTGTACAGATAACCGATTTTAGCAGTAGTGTATCAACAAAATTCCTTTTTCAATTATTATCGGGCATAATAGACTGGACGGTCGCAGTGACACATTCCTTAACAATAATAACAGATTATTGATAGATTTTGACCATTAAAATATCTTCGTAACCAAATAATAGAGTTTACTTCATTCCTTAGTCTTTTGTTTAGATTCACGATAAAGGTTGTAAACCTATATCACTTTGATATTTTTTAAAACGCTGTAGCTTTTACTGACAAACAAATTCAGTTATTTCAGTTATTTGTTAGCTAATGCAACTTACATTTCGAATATAACTCTTTGAAAACCAAATCTTGATATAAAATATGGCTCACATTAGACAATCTAACAAAATGTCTAGAGCACCTCTTTTGGTCAATTGATGATGTCCCTATATTATGATCTGTATTTTTATGACGAGTTTCGGAATTATTGCAGTTTATGGACGTTCTTCATGTGGATCAGTTCAAGGTTTGTACGATAACTTTAAAAGAAATCAAACTACTTAGAAATTATTGCTTTTAAGGGATGAGTACTTGCAAAGAAATTAATATGCAATGATCAAATTTTTGCTACAATCAAATCATATCAAATTTTTTGATATAAATAAAGACTGAATTCACAAATCAAAATGAAATATTGGTCTATGGACATATAAAAGATGAAATATTAGAATGGTATTAAAATTTTAGTTCTGCTACTGATATATACTAGTGTATATGGCACTACCTAAATTTACTGGACATTCTAGTAAATAGCAAATGACTATATATATTATAACATAATTGATAATAAAATCACCTGGTTTTGAATTTGAAAGTGCATATATATATATATATATATAAACATATAAATAATATATATAAATATATTGAATAAAATTAAAAAAAAATTTTAGATTAAAACAAAATTTAAAAGAAAAAAAAATAAATAACTTGTAACACAAAAAACTTTTATTAATCAATAAAGTTGTATTAAAATTATGTACAAACATATAATTAATTTTTAATTAAAATTTAAATTAATTTGCTTTTAAAAAAAATTTAATAATTTTTATATGACTTGATTTAATAGTTGAAAATTAAATCTTTTCTTGATTTTAATTTTGCAGTTATTAATGCTTGTCATATAAAAAGTTATTAAATTTAATTTAATCTAATTTAAAAATATATCCAATTATGAAAATATATTTTCTAATAAAACAATTTCATTTGCCCGGTGGCCGCGCAAGTATTAATTACTTTTAAAAAGTCTCTATAGTTGATTTCTTGATGAATGCCTGAAAATAAAAAAAAATATTATTTATCTGTTATCTTATGGGGTTTCAGTACATCAATTTTTTTTTAAATTATGTTGAATTATTTAAAAAAATTAAACGGAATAACTTTTATGTTGCATTTTTTTAATTTCGGGTGTTCTTATTTCGAATTCAACAAGATTCTCATTATCTACCATAGACCCACAGACTACCTTCGAGAGAGAGATTAACAGAAAAATCATTAAACAAATCTGACGAAGGGCTTGATAAATACTATGCAGAGACTGTAATATAGATTAGTAGAACAAATCATCAATATCAAGAAGTTAGGATAATACTATGGAACTACTGCAACATAAATTTTAAAGGTGAATAAATGCTCTACTGGATTTATTACGTTGATACAAGCATTTGTTACGCTAATCATTCTGGACATTTAGGCTACGGTATTTCGTTCTTTCTTTATCATGGATCGCTATGGATACTGTAACCTAACAATTGTAATTGTTAACGCAACTGACTAAAAAATTTAAAGTATGTGAGATTGTAGTATCACTGTTGCTTATTTTAACTCAAAGATTATACATATAAATATTTATATAGATTATATATGATAGTACTAAATTTCTAATGAGCTGTTATCATGGACACGATAGGAATTTATAAGGAGTTCACTTTAACGAAAATGCGTCAAAAAATTTAGAGAAACGATAATCGAAGCAAATTCAGTATAATGACTTTACCATTGCTTTAACGGGAGAAAGGTTGAAATTTGAATTTAAGACTTAAGACGATGATAGAGTCAGTTTCTATAGAAATTTGTGAGAGTCTATCCGGTCTTGCCATATTTATGATATTCGTTATAGACTGAACTGAAATTAAGTATGTATATTGAATTATGCTAAATATTTGTATTTGGGAATACAAAAGTAAATGATAAAAAGGGGAAAGCAGCTGAGGTTTAGACCAACTATCAAATATTAAATATTTCTATGCAACAGTGACCCTTGAAAATTATGATTTTTAGAAAATTGGAATTAGTTCCATATAAATATAGTATATGGTATATGTCAGTTCATAACTTTTTTTTCTTTTAAAAAATAATTTTTTTAATTTTCTGTTTTGACTTTCTTATCCATCTTCCTAAAGTTGAGTTTTTCTTTTTCTGTATTTGATAAATGTAGCTATAAAAAAAATACTGTTTTACCTTTATTCATTCCAAAGCACTTATAAAGGACTTCGAATTCTTGCTCATTTAATCCGACATGCATGTATCGAGTTGTTAGTGCACGTCGAAATTGATTTCTTGTTATTGTCCCACAATTTCTTCTATCAAAATCTTGAAAGAGTGAGCCTAAATTTGATATATTATCATGTTTTCGTGCCAGCTTTCTCAAAACTTCGGAACAAAGGGTGCGTTCATCATAATTAAGCCAACACTTTTGACAATCTTGGTTTGCAAAGTGTAAAAGTGGATAGGTTGTTGTTACCTTATCCCCAGCTACGGTTTCAATTACTACAGATACTTTATTAAGTACTTCTCCAAAATTCCGATATAATATAAAATTAGGATGACGGGGCGATTTAAATCTGTACATATTAGGAAATTACAATTAACTTACGTTGTAAAGTTTTACAGGATGTTAACAAACAAAAATGGGATAACTTACGTTTCACAAAGGATATCGAATTCATGAGGCGATAAGTTCACATTAACCCCACTTAGCGCTCTACGGAAATCGAGATCTAAAATTTCATTTCGGTTGTGTCTATCATAATCTCTTAAGATATCAATAATTGATATAAATCTTCTGAGAAGTTGTCGTTTGATTTTATATATAATTTCCATTATGCGTTCCCCATAATCTTCATCCGTTTGAAATTTTTCAGCTGGTAAATCACATTTTGCATGAAGTTGTCTAGGTTGAGGTAAGTTTGTGGCATGATCTTCTTCACAATCAACGTCTTCAAGGAATTGTACATAATTAAACCCTGTGGCGTCACCATAGCGATCGTATAAACCATTTAGTTCATCGTTTGAAAGATCAATATTCATTATTTTTAAAATTTTATTTAATTGATAACAGTTCACATGTCCGTGGTGAAGTCTAAACAAAATAAAAGCAATAAGAAAAAAATTATTTCGTTGACAGATGATGAAAGTATATCATTTTACTTACTTATCATAGCTTTGAAAGTAGGGTCGCATGTGAATGTGTCGATTTCGAATGAACACTTGAATTAGATTTACAGCGTTTTCACATTGTGAACGTGCCAAATTACTTGCTTTATCCCAATTGAGTGATCCTATACGTGGTCTATTTTTTATATGCTTTGCTGGGGTCGTAACTTCTGTTAATGGTGACTTATCCAGATTCTTTATAGTGAAAACTAAAGAATAATACATAAAAATAAATAGTATATAACTACATTAATAGTATATTTTCGTACCTTCGTCAATTTCATTTTCAAATTTCCGCCACATTATAAAATTTTTATTTCGTGGACATTCATAACGTTTACAAAGTGCTTTAATTTCATTATCGTTCAGTGAGTTCCTAAGTTGTATAGTCCCTAAAAAACGTTCAAATTGAGAAGCACTAATTTTACCCGATCGGTTGTAATCAAAAATCTCTAAGAATTCACGTACTCTTATGCTTTTCTGATAAACGTACTCTTGTATAAAGAATATTGTATCGCAAATGTTTCTATCCTTAGGATGATTACAAGGATTCGGAAAGACTTTGGAAGGAATGTGTGTATAATTCGATTTATTCATTTCTGTTAAATGCATATTTGCTAATTCAGAGGGAATATATTTATAGTTCAACTGAAAATAAATGATGGAATGATAATTTTATTGTAATAAGAGATTAAAAAGCTCTATATTGTATAGATAAAGTAAATAGTATTTTGAAAATTTCAACTGATTGTTGGAATATTTTTTGACTGGTTTCCAAATATAGTAGAGTATTGCGGTAAAACATATCAAATGCAACACGGTTCATACCTTAAAATAAAACTATTCTCGAAAAAATTGTACACAAATTCGACTATACTTGTTTGACGGCATAAATTAGGATCGGAAACGCTATAGTATGGCAATTAGAATAGGGACGTGCATGGTATGGATATTTAAACCGCATCAATTAATCAGTTTTTTGAAATGAGTAACAATTTATCAATCTGACTAATAGTGACTAATAGCAACAATGATGTCAGTCTGCACTTTTTCACGACCGACCAAAATTTAAACTTTATTGAACACTCATCTTATTTGTGCTACTATAAGGGTTTAAAGCATTAAAGATAGCACAAAGCAATTAAGTAACCCCTGAAGTTTTCAACAGAAAAATTATTAGTAGGTCTATTGGAATTATGTACGTGGACAACGACTCATTATGATGTGGTAGTGGAATAAAAGGAAAATACGATCATTAAATATTTAAGTCCTTTTTGGTTCTACATAGTCAATATTTCATCATCCAACTAAAGAAGGTATTCGAAACTAGTTGACTGCGGTAGGATTGTTAGAAAACAAAGATACAACAGAAGTTGAAGCTTACACAAATCCATAAAATATCTATATAAGACTCGCGATAAGCAAAGATTTAATATGTCATTAAGATCAGCGTTTGGATTTGGTTGAGCAACTAATTGTTCAGTATATATAGACTAAGATATCGCGAAGGATGACACAGAGAACGGAACGGAATAAATAATAATTAACAAAAGAAAGCTTAGAAGAATACCGACTAGAAATATGAGTTATCTGACTTGAATTAATAATAAAGTTGCTTTATTTATATTAAGTAAATTTTTTTTAATTTTGCTATATAAATATATAAATTACTTTCAGTGTTTAAATTACTTTTTATACATACCTCTTTTGGATCTGTTAAATCATTTTCTTTAATATATTTCGAAATGTTTTCTACATGCTTGATAAAAGCAACATAATTAACTAAATAGCCATCTCTCATGTAACGTTTAAGTATTAAAGTAACCTCTTCTTCCGATAGTTGTACTTTCAAGAAGTATAGTACACGCAAAAAATGAGATACAGTGATTGTCCCTTTATTTCTTGATATCTGTAAAATTATATCTATAAAAAAATTTTAAAAAGAAATCGGAGCCATTGTTTTAATACTTACAACAGAGTAGTCTTCAAAATATGGGGATAGTGGAAGCATGCATAAAGTTGAAACTTTTATAAGCGTGGCAAATATACGGTGACGTTCATGTAGTGGTAATGCATTTACATGAAAAGGATCATTCAATTCACAACCCGTTGAGAAATCCTTTTTGGCCTGATATAATTCAGCTTTAGTAGACATAAATATTATAATTAATTACTTGTATTATTTTTTCATCAACATACATGAATTATACACAGCTTTTGACATTTGTTGGTAAGCAACTCTTCCATCGCGCAATTTGAAATAATCACAAATTTCATTTATTTCAAAATCCGATATCCCCAAACGTCCTTTGAATTGCTCCATAATACCCAAAAATAGGGATTCTAATCCGTAAAAAAACATATAATGTAAGAGGTTTTAAGAGACTTAGTATTTATATATAACTAAAGACATAATACGTAATTGATTTCAAGTTAAGAAGCGAACATTATGCCTATGAATTCAGATCGTAGAGTGTTTCTTCTGTTCGGTTATTATGCCATGACCTTTTGCAATTAATTTGTTCTTTCCTGGAGCTTGCAATCAATGAAAAATAATAATTTCTTTATAAAGTAAAGAGGCAAATAAGACACATAAAAAACTTGCACCTGGTTTATTCAACAGTTTTTCTTACTTATAAAATATCAAACCATGATAAAAGGATTAAAAGGAAAGAAGGTACAGAAGGAATATTGTTGCGAACATGTGTGTTCTGTTATTATATTGATATAAATTTCTACGCGAATAGAGGGGTCTTTAAAATAAGAACTGTTAATAATAAGTTTATTAAGAAGTTAAGCTTTGTTCGGGAAATTGTCGGGTCTCTAAAATAAATTCAGGATAATGTAACTTAAAAAAGCTATTATTTAGGCACTTGAGTATTTTCTCTGGGAAAGTAATTAAATGAAAAATCTTTAAAAGACTAATGTGTTAAATATTTGAGTTATGTATGCAGTCTTCATAGAGTTGTAAGTATTTCTATACATATTTACCAGATATAAAGCCAATGTTTCTTGGATCATGTTTACGAAATTCTCCACATAAATTGATGCCATACTTCAAGTGGCCGTCTTGCAATTTTCTTAGTGCACGCCATACTTGATTTAGTGCACGTTCAGGCTAAAATAAAATCTGTATATAAATTATTATTTGGTTTTATTTATATACTATATATGCAAATATATTCACCATTGTTTTATTTTGAAATTTCAATAGCTTTCAAAAGATAAAAAACGAAAAATTTATACATATACTAAATTAACCAAAAGCGACAAAACGGTTAGTAATAAACTATAAAAGTATCAGATATAATTAATAACAAATTAAATCATTAAATAACTTTAAAATCTTGTGTTGCTGTGATATATTATATTGAGGTGCATTTTTTATGACCTAAACATCACTGTGTTCTTTGACTTAAAGAGACGAATTGGTTAATACGGTTTTTTGTGAATTTTTAAAAAAATCACTACTGAAAAGGGAATACTTTCTGTATTGAAAAGAATAAGAATAATACCATATATTTTGGAAGATTAGAAGACCGAAGAAGTCGAAAGAAAAAAATTTCTGTCTTTAACTTTATCTAGAATGTCAGGGCGTCACTTTAACGATGCTTCGATTTCTTAACTATAAACCAATTGCGTAGGATGGTATAGATGGTAGATACAAGAGACAGTCTGTTTCACTAAAAGACGCAGTTTATCTAGTCTGTTTATGTGAATCAGTTTTGATACTACAATTTTAAAGTAATATTAGTTGTGTAGAGAAACCTATTTGGGAACGAGAAATTTATTTGTTCCTTTAACAAAGTATGAATATCTTTAATTCCTTTTGTGATACCTAGCAGACACTTAAGTGAGAAATACCCAAAGCTGTTGTCGCTTGCCAACGAGTATTGAGTCTCGATAAACTAGAAGAATGACACATTTGTCTTTTTTCTTTACCTTCTCTGAGCTACATCAATTACAGCAGTCAGTAAAAAAGGCTCTTAATCGGTTGGTTATAAGAGAATGTCTCGTCACTATTGTATTTAGCATTGAGGAGCTAGATTAAACAGTTGTTATATTCTTTTGTGATAGTAAACGAGTATTGTCAGATATGTGACTTGATATTTGTGCTCCTTGAATTATCTTTTTCGTTACGTTTTGTGTCAGTATGTATAGTCTATTTAACAGAGACTACGATAATGCCCACACTTAAGATTGTGTATCACTTTTAACTAGATTGCTGTATCTATAAGTAAATTGATTAAATGAAAAAGTTGTTTGATATTCGTAATGCAATGTAAGAGACTTTGGAGAGCATTTAAAGATTATTTATTGAGGAATAATTTGCAGGCAAGAATTAGTGTTTTCTCTAAGTGATTGTTAGTTTTTCTGTCGAAAATCTGACTTTCAGATTAACTGTCAGTTCTAATATTTAGTGGTGTGAAATATGATCTCATTTAAAATGAAAATATTGCTCAATTATTGAGATATAAGAGTAACAATATAAGAATAGTGCATCCGTGATTAGATATTGAGCAATTGTTAAAAAGTCAAAAATCGGATGTTTATATCTCTGCTTCATATACTGGTATGCTGATATAACTAACTGAATGAACAATTGTAAAGAATTTTATCACACATCATGTTTATAAAGACGTTTTTCACAGCAATTTTTTGTCAAATCATTTTTCAGATTTTTTAGTGCTGTTAACTGGTATTTCTTAATATGTGCACTTTTTTCTGGAGTTTTTTACGATTTCTATTATGATTACCTACAATTTTTTATTAACATTTTTTATTCTATTATTTAATTGTTTTTATTTTAGTTTTTCGATTTTTTGTTGCTGTTAGCTGACATTTTGACTTAGGTCTATTTTAAGTTAATTATGCGAGCTATATAATGACAGGAAGCGCGATAGAATTAAAGGCGGCCTATTTCACAATTTACGTGATTGTAATAGAGTAAATTTTAAGTAATGCAATAATTTTAATATATGACTTAATTACTCTGATAAGAATGAGTTTAGATGTTTACACAGACTAATAGGTGCTGATATTAATATTATGGGTGTTAGTTTAAACAAATTTAATAATATGATATTGCAAGTGTAAGGAAGTAGGATCATAATTAAGAAGTTAATTATGAAACCGTTTTAGTGTATTACAGTCACGCACTATGACCTCAAGGGTTAAGATCCTTCATTCTTTAATTACTTTATAAAATTCTCCAAAGTTAAAAACATATTTTACGAATATAATTTTGGGTGTAAAGTGTTAAAGTATACAATTTTATTGTAGTTGCCTGGAGTAGAAACAAAAGTAGTGGAGTAGTGGAGTAGTAGAAAAAAAAGTATGAAAGAAAAGGTAGTTTTTAGTGGTGCGTGCAAGTGTTTTATAATTGCCACTGCACACACGATTTGCGTAATTTTCTAGATTCTTACTTTTTTGTGGCACAATTCTGCATTTTAATGATTGCTAATCGGCGCATTTTAAAGCAATTTGAAAACACAGTCACGTTTAGTTGCGGAGGAAACGGAAATGCAACTGCAAAATGATGTACCGGAAATGGCAATGTGTTGAAATAATTGCTACTAATATACCCCACACTTTGTTGAAAATAATAAAAGCATAATTTAATGAAAATTAAACTTAATCGAAATAATTTTGAAAATTATTAAAAAAGGAAGCTGCACTTCTCTACAGTATAAAACGTATAGGAAAAATAAATAAAAGAAAAATAATTTTAAAAATTGTGCATGAACTATTTTTAATGAAATCAATCTAAATAAAAAAAATATTGAAAATAAAAAATATTTATAATGGAATAATATTCCTAATGGTATGAAAATTTCATAAGTTTCATTTCAGGAAAAATATTTCAATTTCATCTTTCATCTTAACAGCACAGATAGAAGAAAAAACACTCCAATAATATGTAAAGTTGAGCATAGTTTGAATATTTTTAAATTTTAACCTCAGCTTGGAGTGCTAGGAGCAAATAGTATGCAATCATTTGGTCATTCATTCAACGTTTGCAGCCGTTTCCTGCTGTCTTCACATGATTTTCTGCATCATTTTTTCTTCGACAAATTTCTTACTGAAATGAGATTCTTATTCCTTTTTTTTTTGTTGTTAAATTGTTAGAAACTTTCATGCAAAGGTACTAAAATTCCATCCGTATCTTCGAACCAATCCCAAACTGCATTTTCATGCATTAATGCCAAAGTGCAGCAACGATTGAGTGCGTGCAATTTTATGGCATGAAAGCCATAAAAGGGAGCAGGGTCTTCCCAGCAAAACGTATTGAAGTCGTTATCATTTGCTTGAGGTTTTTTCTGAACTTTTTTGGCTTTACTCACATAGAATTCCTATTTCAACTTTTGAATCTCAGTGGACATATAAAAAAAATTTATTCATTTATAATGTAAGAGTGAAGTGGATAAATTTATTTTTTTATGAGATGTAAATTGCATTTCAGTCATTTTTACGTGATTCTTGATCAAAGATTAAAAATTATTTTGATATCAACTAAGGGTTATGCGCATTTCAAGGTTAGATTATCATAATCAGTCTTCCAAGTTGAAGATATTGAATTGTTCATTCAATTGGTTAAAATATTTAATGATGCCATAAACTATATTTCATAAGGAAAGTAAATATAGCGGAATTAAAAATAAAAATAAATTTGTGTTGCTATGATTATAGAGGTTATAGTGGAGTAGAGTATTGTGATAGTAGTAAAAAGTTTGTATTATGAGAGTGTAGTAAAAGCCAGTATGTTCATTGTTGACTACCTTCCGTCGAAATCCATCCGAATTAAGGTTTGAGTCTTTCGAATTAAGGTCAGAAAGTTCTTCATTGGAAAGTTCCTGAAATTACAGGAAGCCAACATTCGCATTTTCAAATGAAACCCATGATTATATCAATAGAAATATAAGATTGTGGTAGGAGAAATACAAAATTTCAAATGAAATCAAGATATTCTCCAGTTAAGTAGATCATAATATCACATAAAGGCTATAATGAAATTTCAGATTTTTGAAGAAAAGTTTGCCAGAAAAGACATTCACTTCCGAGTCTTCCACTGAATTAGTTATAAATATCATAAGAAATAAGAAAATATTTAGTATTTCAAATAAAAGTTAAAAATTTGTTCATTAAGTGTTACTAATAACAGATGGAGATAGGAAACCTCACGAAGGTAAGACAAAGTCAGGAGATTTTTAGTTTTCCGAATGAAGGCTATAAAGTCCTTCGTTGGAAGGTTACTAATGTAAGATTACGGCAGAACAGACATACAAATAAAGCCAAGAATTTCGTTTGTTAAAGAGACCCTAATATCACATATAGAAGGTTTCTCGTAGAGAACTTCCAATTATAAGACAGTGAAAGAATTTATTCAGACCTTCGAATAAAATTTACAAAATCAATCCTCGGAATGGAGTACTAATAGTCAGTTGTGAAGGAATTCTATATGTTAATGAATTCTTAATAGTAAAGAGAAACAAGAGACATGTAGCTCCTCGAATTAAGAGCAGAATGCCGTTCGTTGAAAAGTTTTTAATAAAAGCCTGTGTCAAAAGAAATGCACTCTCTAGGCCTTATAAAGGCTAGAATGTTCCTTTTTGAGGAGTTTCTAATATTAAATGTAAATAAGTTGATTTGTTGTTTTTACTATTAAAATTGAAAATGTCCTTTTTGAAAATTTGAAGAGGACTTTTTTAGTAAAACTTGAAATATGGGCTTGTATTCGTTGAGATTTTTCTAGTTGATTATATTAAAATATTTTTTTAAAATTTATGTCCTTGAATAATCAAATAAAATTGGTTTTATTTTTAAACTACTGAAAGTAGTTCAATTACACATCTATTCAGAAATATTTGCGTAGATTAAAAATATATAAACAGTGAGAAGGTAATATTTATCTTAGTCTTCTAAAATACTGAATATTTTTACGATTTAAATACAAATAACTTGGAAACAATTAAAAAGCAATTTTAAAAATTATAAAAGATTGCTGTTATCCTTTAATTGCTGTTGCTATTCATTTATCACAACAAAATACAATCCTTCGAACTATTGCATGAGTTAAGCAGGAGATTAAAAGCAAAAACGTCAATGTTTCTAAAAGGATATTACTTTTAATGAATAATATTTTTTTTTTTAAAGAAAAAGGATTGTGCTAATAAATTAGTAAAAGTAAAATTAACAATAATAGTACTTTTTCAGGATAAGAAGAATATTGCCAACGAATTAATAAAAGTAGGAAAGAGAAAATTAAAAATAATTTTCTTATGCATACA